ATAGAAAATTTAATTTTTCATTACGAGCATGATATATTTTTTATCTATTCATCTACTCATTATAGAAAATTCATCTATTTATTTTAGAAAATTCAAAAAGTACCTTTTGTAGAACGATAAAGTACCAAAGAGTCCCCTTTTATAGGTTCTCACTTAATCCGGGCTCTACAAACTTAATTTCATGTTTCTAGCCAATAACAACACACTGCTTCTTTAATAATTGTTTTTCTTGCTTTTCTTTTTATAAACATGTAATACATACATCACATGGCTATGTGTTTTATTCTTTATTATACATCGCATATGTTTGTTTATTGTTTTTGTCTGTGCATGAACGAAAAATCTCAGTTTTTGATGAAATTTGCAGAGGTAGACTCAGATTTTTGCTCATATTTTCCTTCTTTATGGACCGAATTTGCTGATTTTAAATAGCATTCTATTCGACCGTATGTCTGATAGAACTATTGTAGATTCGGATCTCGCAGATATCTCTGAAAACTGATTTCAACATACATACGAACAGACGGACATGGCTAAATCGTCTCCGCTATCTATAAGGATCCACAATATATGTATATACTTTATACTTTATATTATAGAAAATTCAAACGGAATGACAAACTTATATGGGGCATTTCACGTCAAGTGAACCAACTTTTGAAATCGATGTCTTCCGATCGCGATGAAATTTGCACCATAGTTAGTTCTATTGGATAGTAATTCAGACACAATTTTTCAACAAGATCGCTCGTGAACTTTCTAAGTTAGAGGCGGTCAAAATTTGACATTTTGGCCATGCAGGTGTTTTTTTCTCATCCATGTAACTTATTACCTATTGTTCTTAGCAAAATGTGTCCCAAATAGTTTAGATAGCTATTTATGCAATCTTTCGAAAAAAAAAAAATTAAAAAAATTTAATAAAATATTTTTGATTTTTTTAAATCAAAAACATTTTTGACTTTTTTTCAAAATGGGCCCTTTTTATTATTTTTTTTATTTTTTTTTTTAGAAAGCTTAAGTCTTTTCCTAAGCGACCTATATGGTCGCTTAGTGGGATGCCAGTGGGATATCTATCAAAAAATATTTTGTAACTCAAGATTTAAAATTTTTGAATTTTTTGGCAAAATCAAAAACTTTGTTGACTTTTTTTTAAAAAATGGACCCATTTTTAAATTTTTTTTTGCTCAGAAGAAAGCTTATGTGTTTTCCTTTAACACCCTTTTTGTCGCTTAGTGGGATGCGAGTGGGATATCTATAAAAAAAATGTTTTGTAACTCAAGACATACAATTTTTTACTTTTTTTCTAAAATCAAAAACTTTTTTGACTTTTTTTTCCAAAATGGACTCTTTTTTTATTAATTTTTTTTTCTCAAAAGAAAGCTTAGGTCTTTTCCTTTAAAACCTTTTTGGTCGCTTAGTGGGATGCGAGTGGGATATCTATCAAAATAAATGTTTTGTAACTCAAGACAAATGTTTTTAAATTGATTTTTTTCATATTTGTGTGTAAGTGTTTCTAAAACCTTAAAAATAAAAACCACAACAACTGACCGATAATAGCCACTGGAGGGGTGCAATATGAGGCCGACCGCTATTAATTTTCCACCCCCAAAATTTGTCTGAGTTTTGTATCTTGCGGCTTTTTTAGTCAATCCTAGAGGTAGTTTTCAGCGCACGTGATTTTCATTGTTAAAATATCAGGTGCTGAATCTAATAACGCCA